ACTGTGGAGAAGAGCACCACAAGGAGTGTTGCGAAAAATGCTGCATGTGGTAACAACTCTGCTTTGGCAAAAGCAGTTCTAAAGGACCAGGAACTTAAAGACCTTATTCTGATGGAAATGACTAATGAAATCAAAAAGGAAATCAGGTTATATTCCAAGAACCCTGCATGCCTATTGAAGCTGAAAAGTCCAGCAGACATCAGAAGATTTTCAAGTGAATCATTCTACCAGCAATTACTGGTTAAGTGCCCAGATTTGGCTGTTCTTCTTTCTCGTGTATCACAGCCTGGAAACTTGAAAGGAAATCTGCCAGACTTTAAGGAGGCCGAAATTACCAACCAGTTCCGAAATTCTGTTTGCATGGCAGCTTTCATTTGTTTACACCAGTACAACCAGCAGATGACTGCTGCTCACTATAGAATAAGTTTGTTGTTATTGAATGGTGGGGCGAAGGCACTTACCCTGCAACGATGTCCTGGTCTTAGTATTTCAGTCTCACACTCATCTGCTATCAGAATGCAAAGCAAGACAGCAGCTCCAAATGTCTCAAAAGCTACTTCCTGGAAGGAAGACATTGTTTCAAAGACACTGCAACTCAATTTCTTGAAAGAGGTTGTCACAAAAAAGCAAACAGCACAGATCAACATGTCTCAAAACGAGGTTTCTAGTTATGAATGCTTTGCAGACAGTGTGCATGCAAATAGCTGCAAATTACTAGAGAATGCTGGTGAAGAAGGTTGTCGCACCTATTCTCGAAATGTCATTATAAGTGCAGTGGAAAATCTTGAGAAGAGCATTGTGCACTTCGAGTAAGTGATCTTTTCATTATACAAATTTCCAACACTGACACGTACCAGCCTTTAACAGGTTAATACAAATCATGGTTATGTTGTTCCAATGTTTGGAGTTGATTCCTTGTCCTTACATAATTTATAAAGTTCAAGACAACTGGCTGTTTCAAGATTCTTAGATAGTATCTTATAGTGGGCCTCCTTTGACTTCCAAAGTATCTTTGAAGCACTGCCTATAGTATAAGCTTGGTTGTATGTTATTGAAGCAACACACCGGCAACAGCAGGGTCCCAGAACAAGGATTTTGGCTTGGAGACGGACTTAACCAATAGTTTAGTTTTGCTTGTAACACAGGCTACCCATACCCAACTGGAGTTAGTTATTTCATTTACTCGTACTTGCCAGATAGTCGTCAGGCCTTAGAGATGATTTTAATTGGCCTCTTTGACCATGAATTTTTCGTTTTCGATTATGAACTTGTTTTGCAGCTTATACCAGAAATTTAGTTGTAAGCATTATTGTTTGGTTCATAATAAATTTACTTAACTTTACCAATCTATTAAAGATGCTGTTGCCCTGAAAATTGTTTAGTGAATGAATTAAGAGTAGAGGCCGACTTGAATTACAAAATATCTTGTAGGATGTAAGTAGTTTAGTAGCATAATCAATGCAACTGGTTATGTCCATTATCCATATCACCGTACCAATCTATCTGTATTTGATAAATCTGATCTGTATGCTCCCAACCATTTTCAAACAGGATAGTCACTGACAACATTGATTTGGTTATCCAGGCCAGGCATCAGTCAGAGTCACCAAAATAAGTCATTGCATTGGACACATGTTTTGCTGTCAAGAACCGTGTCAAAGCTGACAGTAACCTTGATGATTCCCAGCCCCAGAAGCAACTGACAGACCTGCAGATGATCCAGATCCTGCCAAGTATGGAAGAGCAAGATGGGATGCAATCCAGCATGGTAATGCTTGTTTTTCGGATCATTTGCAAGTACTTTGCAGCTTACAAAGAATTTAGCTCTGCTGTCATACACCATCTGCCACACAAGTATTCAAATGAGATGAGGCAGAAAACTGAACAGTTATATGAAAATAAAATAAAATGACAATAAAATTATTGAATTTATAATTGAGAATGATATTGATGTTATTATTTTTCTTGGAAAGGTTTAATTTTGAAGGTGAATTGTAAATATTCTAAAATATTATTTCAGTGCCTTCTGGGGTTGGATTCAACGAACGAATTCATAAAAGTGTGTATTTTCACTCAATCATCGCAAGAAATGAATGAGTTCGGTGCTGCAGTACATGAGCTAGAGACCCAAGAAAGGAGTGGTTATCCTTGTCGTGAATGTGGGAGGACTTTCAGCACCCATCCCTCAGGAGTAGAGTATGTCAACTACAGAATTATAAAAATATGCCAAAACAGAAATATATGTGCTTTTCTCTAAGGTAATAGTAGAACAACATTTTCTGATTTGGCAGTTTTCACTGGACTTGGTCATTGAATACTGACACAATAAGCATGTCAAGTCAGTAAATAAGTCATGAGTGAAACAAAAATTATGTGGCTTCTTTTTTCTGATTTATACCTCTTAAAAAGGTTATTTTTTTGAACAGTATTGCTTAAACAATGAATTTAGTTGTTATCAATATTACCACATGATTGCATATCAAAATATTGACATTGTCACATGTGAATCACATATAGGGCGCCCTGAGCACTATGCTGTTGGCGACATGGGGTTTCAGAAAATCTTGAAGGAAATAAAACTAAAACCTAAGTTATTTCATCGTTACATTAAATGAACAATCCCAGTAGATGTAACATGCTTCTTTAAGTGTGGGTTTTTACCTTTCCTTTTTCGCAAGAATTGTTGTTAACCTGTATAGTTGTAGTCATGAAAGAACCCAGCATGGAAAGGTACCAAACAGCACAGACGGAAGAGACGAGTTTGGTTACTATATCTGCCGTCACCTTTGTGGAAAGACATACAAGACCAAGCAGGGACGAAACAGGTATGTGTAACGAAAACGTTTAGTTCTAGATTAAATCCTTACGAACAAATTTCGGTGACGTAATTGTTTTTTAAATTTATGTACCTTTGACCTGCAAAGACCATAAACAAAGATTACATGTAATTTTCCTTTTGTTAACTGAAAGCGCTTATGATTTAAAATTCTCATTAAACATACATACATCTCAAAAACTGTATTATGTTGATGGTTGCAACAAAAAAACACTAGAATAAACCAATTTTTTCATTGCTACTTCCTTTATATCAACATTTATAATGGTAATTGAACTGAGTGGAGTGCAATTTGGTCTGAAATCATACGCGTGATTTCAAAATTGAACGAGCGCGCAACGCGAGTTCGATTTGAAATCACAAGTATGATTTCAGACCAAAATTGCAGGACACGAAGTTCAATTACCACTTTATTAAATCCATTTTGAAATTGCAAAATTATTTAGTCAGTACTAATACTTTATTGATCAAGTAGCCGGTTTGTTAAAAAGCCGAAACAAAAAGGCTTTTACATCTCATTTTGTCTTCGAAACAGAAATGATGCGATATAGAACAAAAATGGTGCAATTTAAAACATAAATGACGCGATTTAGAACATGAATGACGCGATTTGGAATAGATGCGATTTAGAGCAAAAAATGGTGCGATTTAGGAATAAATCACACTGCTGAGAGCCAATCAGATTGCACGGATAGCCAGTGATTTCAAAGTGGATGTAATAAATATCCTAACCAACTCTTTAGACTAAGGACAGCCGTTTGGTATATACTTGTTTAGGCACGAGCGAAAAAAGCGAATTACCCACACCAACAGCTACAGATGGTGAACTTGATGCAAACCAACACAGCACATCAGAGGACTGTGTGTACAATTATCACTGTGCTAGACTGACATTTGCACTGCTGATGATGCTGTTTAGTGATGCAGTAAAGGAGGGAGATTCAGCAGCCCTGCTGAAATTTCTTAAAGCGGCTCTTCTTTTGTTGCATAGTTATAGTAAAGTATGCCTATGTAGTTGTTGTCCTTTTGTTTCTTGCAAAAGTAAATGCTATTTTGAGTGAAAAAGGTGCATTTGAAGTGCTACAGAACCGTTATTTCAACAGTTCAGGTAAAGCTGGTGGAAACACTCCTTTGGATCTTAGGATGTAACATTTGAACAAGCTCTTGAAAATAGCATTGAAACAATTAGCATCAAATGTGACGGAGGCTGCTGCTCAGCGGATTGCCAAATCCTTATCCACTATAAAGGACATTTTGTTGATGTTAGATGTTGATTTTAATTTAATTTAAAACATCGTAGTGGATACCATAATTCAAAATATCTGGAGGAAATTGCGTTAACAATCACAAACGATTTACATGAAAAGAAAGCCTATAGTGTCCCTGTTTGCTTCTTTCTCGTCCGCATTCAAAGCAGTAAACTTCGCCAGAATCTATGCAGGTGCAGCCGCAGCGGCAGGGCTAGTTGAACTTGCATTCTGCATGGTGTTTTTAACGCATAAACTACACGTCTTGAAAACATGCCTCTGACTCGCCGAGCAAGGAACGCTTCCAGGCCAGCCGATCCCGGCCCTATACCTGCAGATCTCGAACTTGGCAGGCTTTACGTAAAGGATTTGCGATCCCCGTGCAGCAGGCTAAACCTCAAAATGACCGGAGGACCTGATGCCCTGATTAAACGAATTGAAAAGGCACAGACTAACACAGACAACCTTCCTGGCACTCCGCCTCCTATCCAAGATGGCGGCGAGCACGTGAAAAATCAAAATGATCAAAATGCCATCGAACTGCAATTTCAGCACCTTCAGCGCCAAGTCCAGGAGCTACTAGGTGGGGAGTCGCCACAAGATGGGCTTTTATCAGCCACCCAGCTCACCCAAGTACAATTGATTGTTCAAGGGTCACTAAACAAGGTGATCGAGAAAGCCGCATCAGCCCCTGCTCAAGCCACACTTAGCGCCTTCAATGGCTTGTCTCCACCAGCTACCCCTCCACCAACGCAAGCAAGAGATTCCTCTGGGAATGATGCACTGCAAATATCTTCACCAGGGATAAGTGTAAGTCCAGAAAACTATTCTACTGCAGACCCAGCAATATTCTGTGCACGAGCTGCCGGCCAAACTGGTCAAAGAAATCCTAACTGGTGAGTTCATAGAACTTTCTAAATTGCTTCCCAAGCACTTTAACGTCTTAAACCCGTCGCAGGATGAGTCACTTACCCTTACTTTAGAAAATTCAGTTATTAAAATAAACAAGGCCAAAGCTACATCCATAACTGACATAACAGAGTGGACAACGGCCTTTACTGCCTACATGGGAGTTCTTATCAGCAAGTTCCCACACCATGCTTCAGAGCTACTAGAATATGTCTCTCATTCGATACGCTGCTAGATACCATAGGGGGTTGGGTTGGTGTGTATATGACATTAAGTTCTGGCAGAAGGCTGCCGCTAACAAGTCATTGAAATGGTCAACCATTGATAGTCAATTATGGCTTAAAACCTTTACGGTTGCCCCTTCGCTTCTAAAGGAGGACATTAGTGTTTTCCAGTCAAGACCCTCATCATAAAGTAGCTCTAGGGGACCGAAAACCGTACTTGTCACAACTTCAACAGGGGGGTTCCCTGTGCCAGAACCCCTTGCATCTACGCCCACAAATGTAACCGGTCTGGGTGCAGAAAGAATCATCCCAGGATCAAGTGCCCAAAATTCTATCGAACAGATAAGGAACCCTCCCCAAGGGTGGGAAGGTCAACCCCCCAGCACCAGAGCACCCGCCACCGAGAAAAGTAGCTTTGGTGGTGTGGTTACTCCCGTCAATGTAGTTAACTTGTACCAGGCCCTATCCAATCATCCTGAGAGGGAATTTGTTAACAAACTATGTTCAGAGCTGAGGGAGGAGGCTAGGATTGGTTATTCTGTTCCTAGATGCCCACGTTTTTCACATAACTTACCCACTGCATATTTAAACCCTGAGGTGGTTACAGGGAATTTAACTAATGAGGTTTCAAAAGGGTGTACCATGGGCCCTTTTCCCACACCCCCTTTAAAAATTTTCAGCTTTCACCGATTGGTCTTGTCCCCAAAAAACATTCCCACAAATTCCGAACAATATTCCATTTATCCTTCCTAAAGTCTGGGACCTCTAGCATCAATTATTTTATTGAAAAGGATGATTTCTCTCTGCAATATATTACTATTGACAATGCCATTGCAGCAATTCAGAAATTTGGCCCAGGCTGCTACATGGGCAAAACAGACATTGAATCTGCTTTTCGGCTCATTCCGGTCCACCCGAATGACTGGGAACTATTGGGGATGTTTTGGAATAGGCAGTATTATTTTGACAAAGTGCTCCCATTTGGGCTTCGCTCTGCCTCGTACATTTTTAATCAGTTGTCAGATGGCATTGAATGGATTCTACTTAACAAATGTTCTATCTCCTTTGTTTGCCACATTTTGGATGATTTCTTTATAGTGGAGCCACCCTGTTATACCCCTCCATTAGATTCCCTTTGTCAGGCAAGCCTGTCAAGTATGATCTTCACCTTCAAAAATTTGAATATCCCTATCTCCGCAGCCAAAACCCAGGGGCCTTCCCAAATTCTTCAGTTGATGGGTATCATACTAGATTCTGGGAAAATGGAGGCAAGGCTACCCGAGGATAAGGTGGAGAGGATCAAATCCGCTCTCTCCACTTTCCAATCTCAGCGGTCAACAACACTGCAAGAACTTAAATCACTGATAGGTACGCTCAATTTTGCTTGCAAGGTAATCCCCCCAGGGCGACCCTTCCTACAACGAATAATTCACCTTACCAGGGGGGTTAAAAAACCCCACCATCATATAAAGCTTACCACAGGCTTTTACAAAGATATTGAAATGTGGAAGATGTTTATCGACCAGTGGAATGGAATAGGACTATTCCTTTCTCCTCTATGGGAAACCTCTGACACCCTCTCCTTGTTTACCGATGCCTCTGGCTCCCTGGGTTATGGGGGAATTTTCCCAAAAAGGCGGTTTCAGGGAAAGTGGCTGCCATGTCAACAACTACGCCAGCGAGGCATCAGCATTATTTGGCAAGAACTATATGCAATTAATGTTGCATGCCATTTGTGGGGGGCCCATTGGACATCCAAGCGCATCCACTTTTATTGTGACAGTCAGGGTGTAGTAGAGGTCATCAATTCCTGTAGATCCAAAGTTCCCTGGGTGATGGACTTAGTAAGGGACCTTACACTTCGCACCCTGCAGCATAATTTTTATTTTCGCGCAGTGCATGTCCCTGGGATCAATAACAACATTGCGGACTCCCTTTCTCGTTTCCAGATGGAACGCTTCCACCAGCTAGCACCCCAAGCCAACGCAACACCCGACCCCATCCCAGCCTATCTGTACAAGCTCTAGCAAAGGAAGCTGAGCGTTATCTGGGGATGTCCCTTACCCCGAGCACCAAAAAGACATATGGTTCTGGTATGCGGCAATTTTTCACTTTCTGTTCACAAATGTACGTCAATCCGCAACTCCCCATTACCGAGGATATTTTAATCAATTTCTCAGTCGCAATGGCTCGTTCTGTGCAATACACCGCTATCAAGAACTATTTGTCAGCAGTCAAAAATGACCATTCCAGCCACGGCTATGAGCTTCACTTATCTAATTTCCTTCATCTCCGGCTTATTCTTCGAGGCATTACGTGTTCACAGGGACACCAGTCCAAAGTACGCAGACCAATAACTTTACAACTGTTGAACTTATTTTACCATCTCCTCAATGTGCAGCGTACCGACAAAAGCGAGTCATTAATGCTCTGGGCAGCAATGACACCTGCATTTTTTGGCTTCCTGCGAATAGGTGAACTCACTTGCATTTCAACTTTTGATCCAAAGCTCCATCTCATGAACAGAGACATAACTTTTATGCCAAGGAATTCACCCCAGTACATGCTAGTGCGCTTAAAGGTGTCCAAAACAGACCCTTTTAGACAGGGACAAACCATCGTCATAGGAAAGACAAATTCACCCTTGTGCCCTGTCTCCGCAATTGTGGCATACCTGAACTCCAGGCCCTTGTCTTCAGACTCTGCACCCCTTTTCACCTATGTATCTGGTGGGCTCTTAACCCAGGAGAAACTAATAAGGGAAACAAGGCTCCTAATCAGCAAGGGGGGTCTGGATTCAAGGGAATTTGCAGGGCAGAGTTTCCGAATAGGTGCGAAAGCTGCCTCAGCAAACTTACCTCTATGGCTCATTAAGGTTCTGGGTCGTTGGTCATCTGACTGCTTTGAGAGGTACATAAAAACTCCACCCTCTGTTCTGGCACAGATCCCACAAAAGCTCGTTAGCCTATTATAAGTTTGTCAGCCTGTTATTGTTATTTGTTATTAAATGCCTTTTTTTTTTAATATCACTGTTCCAACAGCCGAAGAAGGTATCCACAGCATTCAATTCTTAAGCAAACCGTACGACAACCTTCATTCCTTTCGAGAATCAACTAAAGATGATCTTAAACGCCTGAGTGCCCGACTAGCTCTAGTGGAAAGTAAAGTAGATGTAATCAGCAATGCAATAGACGAGGTTGAAGACTACAGCTATCAATTCAATGTTAAATTTAATGGAGTCCCGGAGACAAGTGCCAATGAATCCTCAAGGTCGACAAGTTCTTTGCATTAAACTTTTCAATGAGATGGGAGCCGAGGTAACAATACTAGATACTGACACTGCTCACCGGGTGCCCAGCCGAAGCGACCGTGCTTCTGCCCCCAAACAGTCAAGGCAATCAGCCAAGGGTCAAGGGTCGGAAAACGAAAGGGGCTGGAAGATCCTGGTGAAAGAAAGAAAAAATGTCATTCTCCACCACCAAACCAGATCAACTTCGACTTCAACTTCGCCAGTACAATGTTTTTCCCGACTTTTTAAGTGCTCAAAACATGGTTCGAGTTATCGAGGGTAAAATTGTATAGAAAATGACCTGTAGGGAAACGAAAATTGGTTCGAGTTAGCGCGAGGTTCGAGTTAGTGAGGGTTCAAGTTATCAGGAGTCAACTGTAGGACCAAAACAAAATGGCTGCCAGCAGCCATTTTGCGAACGTTTCGGATGAGGAAATCAGAGAAATAAAGGTCAATGCGGTCCCGAAATCAACACAAAATGGTATGAAGTATGGCATAAGACTTTTCAAAAGTAAGTCAACTTCTTCCGCTAGTCTTACTATTTTAGTTTTAAAATTAACAAACTGTCACAGATCGATAACAAAAGCTGAACTTGCTGTTTAATTTTTTTCTCGGAATGGTTTGCACAAGCTGAATTCGCAACTGAGTTTGAGTCCATGGAAGTGACAGAAATGAACAACTGTCACTCAAAGTTTTACTTATCAGCAAGAAAGCAAGACC